GAAAAACGGAATAAAAACGTAATAAAAAAAAATTAAGAATGTGTTTTATAATGTGATGATATTATACAAAACAAACATATTCACTCAGATATGGGTCATTGGTTGAAATACCATATATATTCTTTATTATTTATTTATCATAATACATTAATTTTCTTTGTTGTATACATGTTATATGTATAATATACTTATGTACATATATGTATTTAAGCTAATTTTTTACATTACAATATTTAATCGTTTAAATATTTGTGAAAATATTACAATTAAAATTAATATATTAATAGTATTATTAATTTTAATATTTTCACAAATATTTAAATGAGTATAATAATTTAAATAAGTATTGTAGAGTAAGAAATTAGCTTAAATATATATATGGGTAATTATTTAGATTAGGACACCCCCCTCCAATAACCTTGGGTTTGACATATATTATAGAGGTCACCCTCCTGAGTGACTTGCAAAAAATTTTAGCCTGCGGACGTATATATTATATTATTTAATTATGCTTTTATATTTTTGAGACAAATTTGACAGGTTTCCTTGGTTAACTTGTATTAATCGACACATTAAATCGTATTAATTCGATAGCCACGCGAAAAATATGACTCATCTTATGTCCAAATACGATTGTCGTCTATCAGGAAGACACTGATAATACGAGAACAAGCAAGGAGCATGCATGTCGCGACTATCGCGCTACACGCGGAAAGTGAGACGTCGATTCGCTATATATCGGTGCGACATATTGACCAGAAAGATTGGCCAAAAAGATATTTTTTACACATTATTGCACTGTGCCGAAAAAATATTTTTTAGTTAATTTTTCGCTTTACCGAAAGGCGACTTTAAACTTCCTGAAAATGTCGACTTTAGGTCGACTTTCAGTCTATAGTTAAAGTCGACAATAAACCATTCTATAGATAGTAGACTAAGTGTCGACTTAAAAAGTTGACTTCAAGGTGACTAAAAAATGTCGATTATCAGCCGACAAACAGTCATTTGTGCTATGTGGGAAGGTGAGAGGTTCCCCACTATTTTCATCCGTAAACGCCTACAAAAGACGGCTCGGAAGAGAGCCGCGAGCGGAGAAGATAGATCGTGCAGCCGGTCGCCGCACACGCGCCTGAAGATTCACTTTGCCTTCTCGAGGAGGAAACGCGCACCGGTTTCACGAGGAACGCGACGCGCTCTGGTCCAAGGGGGAGCGGGAATGATGCGTCGTCCACCGGGATTCGTGCAGTGGACGTCGTCCCTAGTCCTATTGTTCGAGCTCACGGTCCGCGTGACTTCGACGAAGCAGCCGAATATTGTCTTTATTCTGGCGGACGATTTGGCAAGTTGTCTTTCAAGGTTTGCGATAAGTTACACCTGGTCCAAAAGACCGGACGCCTTGAAAATAATGGGTTGTTAGTACACAACGTATGAAGACTCTGTCAGGCGAGACAACTTTTGTCTAGTCCTCATTTATGTGCCGACTGGAAAGGCGTAAAGAAAGGCGAGAGATGTTAAACGCCTACAATAGATAAAGACTAAATAGAGAAATCTTAGGGCCTGAGCAGAATGGCTGTCTCGTACTCTTAAGACGTAAGACAGTTATTGTGCGTTACCTGTCTAGACAAATCGCAACAAGGGAAACTGCTAAATTAAGGATATAAATGATATCTCAAGTTAACGTTTAGATTTAGTCTCATTTTCATTAGGGATGGAATGACGTCGGCTTTCACGGTTCCGGTCAGATCCCAACGCCGAATATCGACGCGCTGGCGTACTCCGGGCTGCTCCTCGATAGATATTATGTCACTCCGATTTGCACACCGTCCAGAAGCGCTCTGATGACTGGCAAATATTCTATTCACACTGGAATGCAGCACAGCGTAAGTGACGCTTTCGCAACATTTCTTGCGTCGTTATTTATCAAGAGTGTAAACACGCAATATTGAAAACAGATAAGATAATCGAGCACAAATGAGAACAATAGGCAGTGAGCTCTACAATACGAGCGAACTTACTCGCTTTGAACCTAAATTTGTCCCTTTCTTTCAATCTTACGAAATAAATTTGCTTATTAAAATCACGATAGTTCGCTGGTACTGTCAGTTTCTTTTAACCGCGGCTGCACCTGTCAGTGAATAAACGCGATTGAGAGCTTTCAGTTGGCGGAAACGTTGTTGTTCTATTTGCAACATGGAGCACAAAAGGGAATATTGTGCGCTTGCACTTTTGCCTCGTTGACCTGGATAGTTCAATTGGAAATTATCACACCGAGAGATAGACGTTATTACTTTATCTGCATACACGTTTTCAACGCTATACGCGCGTATCCACATGCAAAGTCGACAAAGGACCGCACGGACGGTCAGCTCAATGCATCCCTTTTATTATCGTGCAAATTAACGACGTCGGCTGAATAATGCTCCGTTACAAATTTCTAGTACAACGCGCGGACTTGTTGAATAATTCAGGTTCTCAAAGGTTCGGAGCCGAGAGGATTGCCACTCCACGAGAAACTCTTGCCGGAACATTTGCGCGAGCTTGGATACAGCACGCACATCGTCGGCAAATGGCACCTAGGATTTTACAAGAAGGAGTACACCCCGACTTACAGGGGATTCGACACCCACACCGGCTTCTGGGGGAGTCATCAGGATTATTTCGATCACACGA